AGAGAGAGAGAGAGAGAGAGAGAGAGAGAGAGAGAGAGAGAGAGAGAAATCCAAGAAGGTGGGTATGCTGTCATATGGGTGTTAGAGTTCAGTATCTTTGAAAGTTTCATGAGAAAACAGAAGAGGAACAAAGATAGCTGAATATTGGCAGTGCCTGGAGAGAAAGTAGAATCAGGAGGGGTTTTGTTTTTGCTTTTAAAAGAAAAGAGCACATCTGCACAGTAATGAAAATGCTTTGCTTTGGGACATAATACTGCAAGCTGGGGCCTAAACCACAGGCAGCAGGCAAGAGCGGTGGCATCACCACAGCTTGAGGGGATTGGAGCCTGTGCGCCTCCCTCCTCAGGGAAGAAAGGCTGGAGCTACGGAGGGCAGCAGGATGGGTCACAGAGGGAGGAGAAGGAGCCTGCCACCCACCCAGGGAACCTGAGCATGCCTGTGCCTGGTGAGGCTGGACAGGAGGCCTGTGGCTGAGCTCAACGTGCTCCTAACACTCTTGAACTTGCAGGCAAAGGGTGGAAGGCATTTGGCAGAGGACAAGTCCCCTGGGACTCTCAAGGGGGTCTTGGATCAAAAATGACCCAGAGCTACCAGGCTGAGGGATCTACTACTCAGCACAGCGTGCCCCCACAGCTCTCCAGCTTGCTGTGCTCCCTGACCCCTCTGCCCCTTGCTAGGTCGGACCCTCCCTCAGAGCTTCCTCTCCACCTTCGGCTGCTATCATCCTCCGACCCTTGCAGGACCAGTTGCCTCAGCCCTCCTGTGAAGCATTTTCCCTTCCAGAACGCAGAGCCACCAGCCAGCCAGCAAGTGTGCACAGCACACCCATTGTGCGCCCAGTGCACTCACTGTGTACACAGCACCACGTGGCAATGAGGAACACAGGAGACAGCCCTGGGCCTCTGTGGCGAGGCAATGCGTGCATGGACACATGGGGACCACAGTTTTACAAGGTCCTGTCACCTCTGGATTCTGGGACCAGACCCGCCTTCACTGGCTGTCAGGATCCTGGCTGCTTTTCACTCTGCTCAGTGGAGGCGGCCGGGGTGGGTGACTGGATGAAGGAGCAGTCCCCAACGCATGTGGCCGGACACAGGCCATCTGAGGTTTCCTAACTACCAGCTCCAATGCATAATCCTGGCCACAGAGCCCCAAGTCAGCCCCCTTTGGTCATAAAGGGCACGCGTCCCACATGGCTGGATCACCCTCTCTGCCACGCTGAGCCCCAAGTCTGCTGAGATACCAGTGAGAGGCTAGCAGGTCCATCAAATACCGTGCGTGGCAGTAAGTGTCCTCAGTAAATGATTAATTTGTGTCAGGAACAGCAGTATCGACAGTGCCCTAAGGTACACAGCAGGGCAAGTGCTGTCCACGAGCTCACACAAGAAGAGCTAGGGCGGGTGGCATATGTCAGCAGGGATCAGTACCTGCAAGGGGGCCCTGGAGTAAGAAAAGAGGGGTTCCTAGAGCCAGGAGGCTGGGGTGTAAGTGACCAGCTGTGTGACTGCGGGTGAGCCTGTATCCCCTCCCCTGTAAGAAGAGTCCCTCAGTGACACCCCTCCTCCCAGGGCTGCAGGAGGGCGCGATGAGTCAATGTGTATATCAGTTCCTGGCACGCAAAGGGCATTAATAAAACCTACTGTGGATGGCACCAATGTGGCCATCTGCATCTACATGGGAGCTTCAAGTTTTCTAGGCAGAGGGGTGATATGGGACCTCAGACTTTAGGTAACAAAGCCCAAGGACTCAGAAGGCCCTCAGTGCAACCCCAGGAGCCAGAGACATCTAGAAGGTGAACCGATCCCAGGAAGAGGAGGCCTCGCAGACCTGGCACCTCTCACAGGCTGCAGGGTGTGCAGAGTCAGAGCCGCTGCAATGGCCACCCAGCTCTTGTGGTCTGCCCCTGCAGTGCACAGGTGGGGTCCCCAGTGCAGCAGTATTGAGGTGGTACACGCCTGAGAGTAGGTGGCGATGAGCCAGAGGGAGAGGTGCCCATAAGAGGGACCCATGCTGGTCTTGCAGTTATTCTCCCTGGAAGAAGCTGTAATAAAGAGATTAATGCGCAGGTGGTGCACACCTGAAATCCTAGCACTCAGGAGGCCGAGGCAGGAAGTTCACTGCAAACTGAAGCCCACTCTGGGTTACATAGTGAGTTCACGTCCAGCCTGGACTACATAGTCTGTCTCAACAAACCAAAATATAAAATAAAAAGAAACAAAAGAAATAAAAAGAAAGACAAGTCTCTCCCTACTCCCTGATTTCCTGTTTCACCCTGTGATCCCCACGCATTCCTACCAGGATGTCACCATTCTGGGACAACCCCAAAAGGGTTCTCACGAGGGGCCAATGAACATGGTTGCCCAATCTTAAGACATTAAGCCTTTGAAAAGTTTGTCTTTAACTGTGAGCTAAACAAACCTCCTTTCTTTGTAAGTACCCAGCTTCGGGTGTTTTGTTAGAGCAACTGAAAAAGTGCTGACCACCCCGGATGAGAACCCTGGGGCTCCAATCCAATTCCTGCTCTGCATCTGTGGCCACCCCAAGTCCCCACTGCCCAATCACACGTCCCAGCCTCAGCGCTGCCATTTCTGCAGCTCTTCACGACCCCTTCCTGCAGCCCAGTCTCTCCCTTCCACCTCCATTTTCCCAGCCCACCCTGTACCAATCATCTGGAAGACTGACAGGTTGCTGTCTGGCAGGACAGCAGGGCAGGCTGTTCTAGATCTGTGGAGATTCAGGGTGCACAAGGGAACAGCTGGGGTGGTTCTGGTCGAGGACATGTGACAGCAAGAGCCTCAGGAGGTGCCACTCCTTGCGATAGGGGCCAGCCACCAGGAGAATAAGGCAGCCTGTCAGTCTGGTGAGATCTCAGATCCTGCTTCCACAAGGAGACTGAGGCAAAGGCTCCTGGAGCAGGCGATGGGCCAAGAGTGCAACTCAGCAGCCACTGCAGACACCAGGGATCGGTTCACCTTCTGGGTGTCTCTGGCTCCTGGGGCTGCAGGGAGGGCCTTCGGAGTCCTTGGGCTTTGTTACCTAAAGCCTGAAGCCCCATACGGCCCCTCTGCCTGGACAGCTTGGAGTGCCCATGTAGATTCAGATGGCCATGTTGGTGCTATCCACAGTAATCTATTTTATTAGTGCCCCTCCCCACACCCCTCTCCCCAGGATGGCTCCCCCAAACCCCCAAGCCTCAGATACCGGAAAGAGCTGCTTCCCCGCCACCCCAGCTCAATATGAGGAGTCAAAGGAGAGACATGGCTGGTGTCACCCACCGGAAGCCACTCTGAGAGTTCGTGGGGTGGACCAGGATGCAGTCCCAGGTGCGACTGGCAGCATTCTGGAACAGGATCAGCTGTCCTTCCTCCTGAGCACGGCCACTGGAGGTATAGTCACTCACAAGCACCTCCTTCACCCGGAATGGGTTCGAGAACAAGGTGGTGACACCGCTGAGAGTGCTGACCAGGCGGCCGAAGAACTGCATCCTCCACAGCAGGCCGAGGCCCCGCCACCCGAGCCTGCAGTCTAGAAGAAAGCTGGGTCTCTGCTCGGGCTCCCACGCCTACCTTACCTCATGCAGCCATGTCCCGCGGGGGCACCCGGCCACTCACCAGTGCTATCCTGGATCCTGGCCCCGTGGGGACCTGGAAAGGAGAGAGAGAGACACGCACAGACAGAATTAAATGTCTCAGGGAAAGCTCCAGAGCCGTCCGCCAGGCTGGGGACCCAGAAGAAGGATGCCCTTCACTGCAGAGACTTAGTTTCCCCAGCAATGGCAGGTGGTACCACATATGGCTTTGAGAAGATGGGGGAGCCTTTGCCACCAAAGCCCCAGAGACAACACTGGGCAGGCACTGAGCTGGGCACGGGTCGTTCTGAGTCCACAAGCAAGTCAGTGCCTCCTCTTTACTAGGTACCAAAAAGGGATGAGTAGTGATCATAGCCTATCAACAGGAGGGACAGCAAGTGTCTGCCCTGCCCTTCTCCTCCCTGCTGTCACTGGTTCCCAAAGAGCCTGAAAGAAGCCACTCCTTGGAACATGGGCAAGCACAAGGACTCAGACACACAGAAATGTGTGTCGGGTGTGGGGCACCTGGTGATCCAGAGTCAGGGTTTCTGCAGCAGAAGATTCTGGTTGGGTGAGAGAATTAAGTATCTTGTTATTTCCTGGGTCCCCAGAAAACACACTGCCAGCCCGGCATGGTGGCACATGTCTGTAAACCCAGCATTCAAGAGGCTGAGGCAGGAAGATTGCTGTGAGTTCAACGGCAGCTTGGGCTGCAAAGTGAGTTCAAGTCCAGCCTGAACAACTGTCTCAAAAAGAGAGATAGAGACAGACAGACAGACAGACAGACAGACAGACAAGCAGGCAGAGACAGAAAAAGAGAAAGAGAGAGAAAGGAAAAAGGAAAAGGAAAGGGAAAAGCAAGCACACTGCCTTCCTAAGGTACCATCATCAAATCCTGGCAATAATCCCTGCTTCTGCGCCACAATGAAAGCAGAGATCAGAGAGCGAGGACAGACCAGTTGGCCGTCTGGGTGCCCGGGGGGACAGTGGCATTGGAGAGGACACAATTCACAGCCTCATCCTGCCCCAGCCCTAACAAGGCGCCATGGGGACAGGAGAGAGACAAAAACTAAGAGGCTGCGCACCACCTCCCAGGAGTGAGGGTCAACCACACCCCAGCAGCCCCTTAGCCAAGGTACTGCTTGCTGAGCATTTTGGTGACTACAGTCTGAAAATATGACACGCAAACTTCCAGAAATAAATGACTCATAAAATAGATACTATACTCCCGATAGCATGACGAAAGCTTGAACCGTGCCTGTGTTCCACCGGGGTGTGAATCCTTTCCTCTGTCAAACTGTCTACTGCATACTCTGCCCGTCCGTTAGTCACTCAGAGGCCACTTTGTGGCCAGGTCGCTGTCAAGGGGCTACAATGCTGCTGTCTGAGTGAGTTAACAACAGCCTCAAGGCACGAGGGCAGCAGGGCTGGCGATTCGGACAGGCCACAGCTCTGAAGTGCTGGATACAGGGTGCAAGGTACCAGCCACGGATCCAGGAGCCCATGGGGAATACAGGAGGGACACCGGGTCACTCCAGGAGACGTTCACTGACTGCCATTATGGTTTAGATCTAAAATGCCCCAAAGCCTTCTGTGTGTCTGTTCCCTTGTCTATAATCTGAGGCCTGGGCGCCTGACCACAGCTCGGGGCAGACAGCAAATGTCCAATAAACACCAGGTGGCTTTGCTTTGATCACCCCCTTTTACAGAGAAGGAGACTGAGGCCTAGAGCTCTTAAAAGCCCTTGCTTTTGGTATCACTGGTAAGACATGGTAAGAGGACACCGCCAGCCTCAGTTTCCTTCTCCTTCAAGGAGTAGAAATGAGCATAGCAAGGATTACATGCAATTGTGTCTGCTTCCTGCTCTCTCCCATACTTGGGGCTCTGGGGACAGAAAAGCGAGGGGTTGAGGGAGGGACCCCAAGGGCGGGACCTGGCCCTGACAGTCCTCTGCAACGAAGGCCAAGCAGGCATGTGCTGCACAGCCAGTGGGAGGATGGAGGTTTATGACATCTTTACCCAGGGACACTGTGTGGTCATGAGAAACTGCTACGGTGACAAATGTGACCACTCAGGAAAAGCTCAAGCACCTGCTTGACACTTGCCACCCCTACAAGCAGCCCAGGCCACCCCTGCAGCCTCATCTGACCTCCCAGTCCAGCCCAGACTTCAGCTCCAGACCACAGCCGTCCGGAAAGCCACACCAAACAACTGGCACCTGCCCACGGCCACACAGCCACCTGACACGGGGACCTTCCTCAGCTGGTCTGCCTGGAGAGCCCCTGAAAGCTTGCGACCCACGTGAGGTCCTGAGTTCCATCTCCAGCACCAAGAAATAAAACCAAGCCAACCACAAACTGTCTCTCCATGCTGCCCTGCAGCCAGCCTGCAAGCTGCATAACAATCAGCACACCAAACGCGCCTGGCCCCTCCTGTACCCCGGCACCGTCCTCAGAGCTGTGTGGGCAGGCGTTGTGTCAGCCACACAACACAGCTGCCCTACCAAGTGCCCACCACCATTTTCCTCACTTCACACACAAGGAAACCAAGCAGCGGAGAGGGCAAGTGACGAGCCCAAGGTTACACCTGAGTAGGTGGAGGAGCCAGGAAGCGCCAGCCCTGGAGTCCAAGCTCCTTCCCAGCACCTGCTGAGTCTTCTCAGCTCTGTGTACCCCCTCGGCAAAAAGCACAGCTCAACAAACATTTGCCAAAACAGAATTCAACAGAGTAATCATCACGCATGGGGGTAAAAGACTGATAGAGAACATATACCAGGTTGGGGAGATAGCTCAGCGGTCAACGCACCTGCCTGGCAAGTGCAAGGACCCAGGTTTGATCCCCAGTACTACATGCCACACTGGCCCCAAACCCCGGGTTTGCCATGATGGCCCCAAGACTGAGTGTGGTGGTGCACACTTGTAATCCCAGTGCTGGGGGACTGAGATAGGAGGATCACTACGAGCCCGAGCTGTGAAGGGAGACCCTGTATCCAGGAAGGAAGGAAGGAAAGGGAAAGGGAAACGGAAAGGGAAAGGGAAAGGGAAAGGGAAAGGGAAAGGGAAAGGGAAAGGGAAAGGGAAAGGACGAAGAAAACATCTACCAGGACAATAGATTCAGGGTATTAGGTTCACAGGCTACTTTGTTGCTTTTCCCTATTTTGCAAATTGTACTCCATATGAGTAGAGTGTCTAAGGAAAGGAGGGGTGTAGGCTGAGCCCCGGGTGCCCACAGTCAGGCTGGCTTCAGAGATCAGCTGGGCACCTAGAGCGGCTGGGGGGGGGGTTCCAGGCACCAGGCACCCAGGAGCCCACATATATTGAAGGAGGAAACTCACCTCAGACTCCAGCTGCCTTAAAGAGAGATCCCTGCTCCCGGGGAGGCCTCTCCTCGTGTTCCTGCCCACGGCCCAGTACCAGCCCCCTGGGGACACAGCTGAGTGGCCAGAGAGGGCGTGTGCTGGCACCGAGTCAGCCTTCCAGGGTTTGCAAAGGCATGAAATGATACAAGGGAGGGAAGGGCCCAGGACGCTGTCCCACTGTGGCACATGAGCAGCCGCCACTGTTACCCCATGGGAAGAAAGGACACAAAAATCATGGGCTACATCCTGGAACCATCACCACAGGGCAAACCAGGAAGGCAGCGAGAGGAGGAAGGGCTAGCGCACGCTACCCCCCATTCCTGTCCTATTTCTCCTGTCCCCTGACCTCAGAGCCTAGAGCCAGGTACCTCCTGCCCAGCGGCAGAGCGGGCCGCGCACTAGGAAGCAGGCTACCATTCAGAGTGCTGACGGCCCCTCGGCTGGGCGCCCGCCCTGCACAGCCTCCACTTGCCCCACTGGTCAGTGCTGTCACTGACAGACACCACACCCGACATCCTCAGTTTAATGTGCGCTTACTTGGCTCACAGTTCCAGAGGCATCAGTTTATGGGCAGCCAGGAAAGCAGCTCAGTTCCCGGCCATCAAAAGGTACGGCAGTCTGCAAAAAGCGGCCCTGATCCAATCACCTCTCTAGGGTCTCTAGAGCCTCTCAAAGTGACAATCAAGCTTAGCCATCACATGCCACTTCTTGTCAACTAGACGCCCAAACACACCTCTTTACACTATGCTTAATCTCTGAATACAGACAATGACTAGATGAGACAACCACCTAACAGGATGTAACCATCCTGCATATACGTGCACTATTCCCTTTTCCAAAGCCAAAACAGCCTCACTGTGGCTCCGAAGTCTCCTCTGAGCTGGGCATTGTGCTGCATATCTATAATCCCAACAATCCGGAGGCTGAGGCAGGAGGATGGCCATGAGTTCAAGGTCAGCCTGGGCTACTAAGCAAATTCAAGGCCAGCCAGAACTACATAGTGAGACCCTGTCTCAGAAGGAACAAACAAATAAACAGACAAAAAAGTAACTCTAAATAAATAAATAAATAAATTTTTTTAAAAAGTAATTCAAAGTCTCCTCCGAGACTCAAGACAAAGTCTTAGCTGTGAACCCCTATAACAATCAAAAAGCAAGTTATATCAAGATACAATGGCACAGGGTGATTAGTCCCACTTCAAAGGAAGGAACAGTGCAAAAGAAAAGAACGGGAGGGAGCAAAGGAAGCTACGGAGCCCAGCAAGTGAACATTAAGTCCTATAACCCACCTCCAACTTCCAGGGCACAGGGAAAGGAGGCAGGAGTCACGAGGGGGTTGGGCGGTCCTGCCCCGAGGCTTTGCTGGCTGTGACCCACATGGCCTCTTTCTTGAGCTGGCTCCCTTCACTGCCTGAAGACTTCCTTGGCAGGTGTCCCAGGTTCTTGACATCTCCAACTTCCTGGGATCTCCACCTTTGGTTTTATTCCTACAGTTTCACATACTGCGCTCTCACAGACAGACTGCCTGGCCCCCAGGACAGTTCTTTCTTTGAAATCTAGATGGAAGCCTCTCTGAGCCCGTGACTCTTCCGTTCTGTATGTCTGAAGAACTGGCACCCTGGCCGCAACACTATGCAAAGTCTCCTGCCAGTGTGAGCAGCAGTCAGGCCAGAGTGCCTAGATGGCTGTGCACAGTGAAAATAATCTCAAGGAACCAAG